GGTTGTGGCGGCGGCGGCAGCAGCAGCGCTAAGAGGAGCTCCGATACTCGCTCGTTGGCTCGCTGGTGGTGGTGGTGGCTGGCTGGATGACTGGCTCGCAGACTGACTGACTGACTGACTGACTAGCAGCTAGCGAGCAGCAGAAAGCAGGCAGGCACAGACTGGCAGACGGGCGCGCTTGAGTCGCTCACTCCTCGCATCGAGAAGCTACAGCAACGATTGGGCGACAACAGCAGCAGCGGCGGTGGTGGTGGCGGCTGCAGCAGCGACGACGACGACGACCAGCACTATCACGACGACTAGCAAAGAAAACAACAAGAGCCGAGGCAGAATAAGTTGAAGCCTCCTCAAAATGTGTTTGTTTCTCCGTTTGTGGCGGTGCCGTAACCCTAGTGCTTGACTCAGTGACGGTAAAGCAATAATCTCGAAAAGTGCTACCCACGACGGAATAACTTGCTCTGTTCGGTGTATGTATGTGCCCACCACGAATCGGCGCAACAACATCAACGTCCCGGAGTCGAGCGCATTGGGATTCTCCTGCGGGGCGCGTTCGCGGGTGGATTTCGCCCGATTTTTGGAAGAAGTGATCTCGAGTTATGTGCGTACGTGAGAATAAACCACGGAACCCTCCGACTTCCCTCGACACCGTCCTCGAGCGCGTGAACTCGTGAACCCCAAGACTTCTAGCTGTGGAGAGTGTGGGCAGAGAACGGCTACACCCAGACGTTCGTTTTCATAGTTCAGTGCCGAGACGTCGTTACGTCATTCCCCACTGGAATTCGTGTCCTGCAAGCGGTTCGCTGATAACAAACTTCATAACTGGTCGAAGGAGAAAATAACCCTTCGGTCGAGGAAATCGTTCGGAGTCCGAGAGAACGGCTGGAAAAAGTTGGAAAAACAATCGGAAACCGCAGCGAAGGATTTCTGCCTGGAATAATTGAAATGCCCCACGTGAACTCCGGACGTGTAAGGTCTCTGCAAGGCTAGCGGGCTTTTTTCTCGTTCGCGTTAAGTCGATGAGAGATTCGAATTTACGGAAAATGTGGTGCGGTCATCGACGTCCTTTCAATACCCGCTCTTTGGAGAGAAACTCGACGCCGTGAAAAGCAACTGATCGCGGCAAGCAGACGTGCATGACATTGCTTCGTGACAAATAAATGTTATGTGCCGCTGATTCGTGCCGGAACATCCCGCGATGGCAAGTGTAGTCGCTCAAGGGGGCTCGGTGAGCTCCGTAGGGTCGGTGGACGCTTATACGCCGCATCTTAAAAGAGTCCTCAAGAGTTATCGCGCAGCGGCCACGACCAGCTTGCACGGTCCGAACAATGTGCGGTGGTCAGCAGCTCCCTCGGAAGAAAAAGAAGAAGAAGACGATTCTCTATCGCCGCTCTTGTTGAATTCGTCGGCGAACTCCGCCTCGGAATCGACCGAGTCCTCCACAGGGGCTACGGCAGCAGCGGGCGGCGTAGAGGGAACAGATGGAGGAACAGACCCGGCAACGGGTGCCGGAGCGGCGGCTTCGGGACCAGGGAGGTCGTCGTTGTCGCCGTCGTCGGCGACGTCAATAGCGACAAGAACCGTGATAGCGCAACAGCCTCCGCCGTTATTGCTCCCCCTGCCGACGGATCGGAAGTCTAGCGGCCAAAGGAGCTCGACGCTCCTGGAAGGCGAACTCATCGCTAGTTTCAATGTGGGCGGCGAGGAACGGCTCTGTCTACCGCAAATCTTCAACACCGTGCTCCGGAATTTCTCCCTACAGCAAATCTACGCAGTCTGCGACGATGTTCAAATCTATTATTCTCAATGTACGGCCGACCAACTGGCGCAACTGAAAGAAGCGTCAATTCTGCCGTTCAGCGTACCGTCGTGCGGACTCATTAGACGCAGTGACGCCGAGCGAGTTTGCTCGTTACTCCTACACGTTCCAGTCAGCGCTGAAACGCCGAGACAGCTACTCGAGCAGCTGCGAGGAGTCCGCACCCCAGACGACTTGTTGGCGGAGAACGAGGCCAACGGAATCGCCGTTTACCACGAATGCTTCGGAGGCTGCCAAGGACTGGTCTTCACGGAGCTCTACGTCACCCCGGTCTCGCCGTGCGTTCAGTGTCGAGAGTGCCGAGGATATCTGTCGCCGCGGAACTTCGTTTCTCACGTCCACAGAGCCCGGGCTGAAACAAGGACCTGCCACTGGGGTTTTAGTTCAGCCAATTGGCGTCAGTACTTACTTCGGCGTGATGAGAGCGATGAATGCGCTCAACAGAAACTAGAATCTTTCAAAATCAAATTCGACAAACGGAAAAAGGTGAGCGATCTCGATACTCCAGGGCCATTCGGCCTATCCCTTACTAGAATCACCGTAGCTTTTATTTATTCGTATCTTCATGCTTCGAGCGCGAACTCCACTGAGGAAAATATAGGGAGGCGGGAACCGGTCCTCCCGAAATGAATATTGAGCCAAGCGATGTAATAATATCTACTCATCCCTGTCTCTTGGGTCACGGTGGCTGGTTGGGCCAGCCGGACGTTTTTCGCCGGAGGATCTTGCGGAATTATCGTTTCCGCTCAGATGGAAGGATTTCCGCGCTCGACTCATCTATCATAGAGTTTCCAATATCCCAACGTGAGACTTAGAGGAGACACCGGCGAGTCGGGGCGAACGTTCCTCTACTCTTCGGAATGGCAAAGCTGTTTTCGAGGCCTTATCGTTTTTCGGGTCTCCTATCTCTCGTTCTCTTCTCATGTACCCTAGCCGATTTTTTTCTTCTAGTACACCAAGCTCTCGACAGATGACTCCATTGATCGCGATATCTGGCCGCTTGTTTGCCGAGCACCGCGGTGTCCGTCTTGGAGCTTTTTAGAGGATACGGAATCACAACGGGAATGTTGCTACCGGCGCTGTTTTCTCTGCACGGCTGTTGGCGTATTTCGTAAAAACCCGCTGTGTAGCAGAATGCGTTCAAACAAGAGATTCTCTTCGAAAACGAGCCCGAAAAGAGAGGAATCGAGATGGAGGGGGCCGGGGGGTCGGAACTCGGCTTAACAAAGACCGGCGAAAGCCACCAGAAGTTCTGTCGCAGGACCTGTCGACGGCCTTCGAGGGCGTCTTCGGAAGCGTGCGTGCTCGTCTAGGGAGCCGATTTCGTGGAGCTGACGGGGCACCGCGGAGAGCAGCACTCGAGAGACGACAAGCGAGAGAAGACAAGACTCATGCTACTCGTCAGCTCCATCCATGAAACAGAACAACGCATCGATCAGGAAGGCCATCACTGAACACGTGTGCACACCTGTTTACTCACTTCGTTGACCGCTGTTCGGTTCGTTCGTTCGCTCGTTCGTTTTTCGCTCGCCTGTTTCGTCGGTATGCCCGCCGACGCCGCCAGCCTGCGTTCGTTCTAGGAAGCGGAACGCAACCAGGAATACAGCGAACAAAATAGCTCATCGACTAGAATTCCCCCAATGTTTGAGCCGGCTCTGCTGCTCGTCTCGGAGAGCATGCATTCTTGTTGCCCCCTTTTCTTTCTCCAATGATACCGGGCTCCAAGCTTCCCATCCGAAGCGATCTGACTCATCTCAAGCCCCAGCTATCGAGATCTTGTTGGCCGAGAATAGGCCCGTCTGCCGAAATTCGCTTGACGTCGGAAGATCATCCCTGGGATCGGCGTGGAAATCGGTTCCGGGGATCGTCCGACTTGAATTCTCCGCAGTGGAATAGCGAGTAGTTAGTCCCTCCCTTCCGAAACATGCTTCTCCGAGTTGCTGAATTCATAGAGCACGAGAAAAATCATTTAATGACAAGGACGCTTGGGTCAGCGAACAGGGTGTTCGACCTTAAGTTCGCGATGACTAGTCCTCTCCGAAGAGAGAGAATTATCTGAGGGGCGTGAAACTGTCATTGGAACTCTCGATTATGGATCCGATAACACTGCGTGGCGATGCCACTCCGTCTGCCACTCACTCGGGTAGTCGATTGAGATTCCCGTGTATTTTCCAGTGAATTAATCGGCTACACAGCGACATACATTCTTGTCTGTCTTTGTGGAGTTTCTGTCGGGAACGACATCTCCCTGTCTCGGAATCTTTTCCGACGTCCGTCTACCGTGGTAGCAGATGAGCAGTCCCCACAGCCGCTGAGCGGTCCAGCGAACGGAATGGCAGACGAGCAAGCCACCGGGCTGGCGGACGGCGGGCGGGCTCGTCTGTCGACTCTGATCGGCTCGACGCCATCCACCGAGTGGCTGGCTCCAGAAAGTCAAAGAGGGAAATATATTTATCTATTATTACAAAGACGGAGAGAACAACTTTCATTGGCGCCAGTCTGGAAATGGCGATTTCGAGAATACATTCAACAGATCCAGCAGTCGAGCCGATCAAGGGCGGTCGCTTCGATGATGATGTCGACGACGGGATAATGCGTTTTCTGAGGCTCTGAGAGTAATCTCGAAGCTTGGTGCGAACAACCCTCCGACGAGCGGTAGCCGTCTAGCAAGCCGGAGCCTCGGGTCGAAACGAGGGGAGACCTCAAAGCGAGAGTTCCGGCAGAAGATCTCCGCTCCCGTCGGAATCCTGTAGGACTGCTCCTGTCGTAATCATCGGAGTCGACGCTTCCAGAGTCTCAAATTTACATTGTCGAATCGCATCCCGTATCCATCCGCTCAAGATTCAGTTACGGCGGATTATACGATGGTAATCGGGGCGTTTCAATGGAATTGAGAGATACTCGGAAGTTTTGCGTCGATTCCCGCAGGAGCAACTCATGCATTCTCCGATTTCGACAAAAGCGATGTTGTTCTATCGTTACAGTTGCAGGGGACTTTGTTTACTCGTTCCGCCAGCGAATAGCGGCGCAGGCAGCGACGTCAACGACGAGTACTCAGCCAGCCAGCCAGTCAGACAGGCGGACGAGCGGGCGAGCTGGTGAACGGGCGGTCAGGAGGGCTGGCGGGTAGACAGACAGGCGGGCGGGCGAGCGAGCGGGTGGGCATGCAGTCAGCAGCCAGCCAAGCGAGCGCAGAGCCAAGGCTGACTGGTGGAGTGGCGTTGGCTACGTCACGTGTCTGCTCTTGACGGCGTGCGCTATCGTCATTTCGCGTCCAGCCAGCCTCGCGACTCCGCAGACAACAGCTACCAACGGACTTACAGCAGGCCGCCGTATGGACGGACGGGCGGGCGGCAGTCAGACGGAAGGCCGGACGAACTGTCTGTCTGACAGCCGGACGACCGCCACAGCGAGCTATCTAGCAGACGGGTTCGCGAACTGCAAGTGGCCGTCTATCTGCAGACCCTTGTGGAACAGGGAACGAACAGACGCGCAGACGCTTGACGGCCAAGGCAAGAGCGGCGGTTGCCGTCGCGCTTGCTGTCGCGTTCGCTGTCCGCGAAGGCACGCGCAACAATTCGACGCCAAAGTCGTCGGCCGACCGCCGGAAGAACAGACGGGCAGTCGAACAGATAGACGGACCGAGAAGCTGGCGAACAGATACTTCGTCTGACGAAAAAAGGCTTGCCAAGCAGCCCGCCAGCCGCGCGAGTTCGCCAGACAAACGTTCGACAAGTCGGGAACGACGAGCGAGCGGCCGGCCGATCATTCCGCTCTGCCGTATTGAATCGGCCTGGCGGATATGAGGGGAACAAGAGCACGGGTCTATCCATGTGGCCAAAAATCAGTCTGTTTGCCTTTCGTCTGTCGGTCCGTCCGTCCGTGTGTCAGACCTTTTTCCCAGCTGCTTAGAAATCTTCCACATGATATACCCGAGTAGCGAGTTGGCAGCGACGTCTGTTCCATGACAGGCGACTGCGATGACGGAATCGACGACGGTAGCCGTCGATCTCCGTCTGTCTGTGCGTCGTCGTGAGCGACGCGTCGCCATCCGACACGATGGCGACCGTCAATCGAATCAAGAAGCTCTTTTGCCTGGAACTGCGGAAAATATTCCCCGATGGGACATCTGTCGGAGGCGTCGCCGTTTCTGTTTGTCTGGTTGAACTTGATTCATTCAGTCGCTCACAGTCAGTCAGTATGTCCGCTGTTGTTTGTTATATTGTTGCGGACCCGTCTTCGCAGTCCGCATACGCCTAAACCGCAATCGATTTTATAAATAGCGGTCGTATCGGTCTCATGAGTAATCTCCTGTGACCGTCTGGTTCGCGTCGTCGCAGTCGCCGTCTCTTTGTTTGTTCGCTCGCTCGAGCAACCGACCCTCCTATTAACACACCGAATGATAATCTTAAGGTCAAACCGTAGACATTAGACAGGGTAGATCGTCGGCGCAATGAGCCCTCACCAGAGCGGTGTCGAAGTCATTCGAACTATGTACACGAATAAGATTTTATCCACACTGGCGACTTTTCGAGCTGGCGATGTTGGATCTTTTCTGAGCGCAACGATGTCGGAAGGCGGGCGAAACGAAAAAGGATAGAGATCTCCATGAAGGAATTCCCCCATTATCGAAGCAATCGAATTCCATGAGCGAAAAACCGCGCGGTAGACCTCGACCGATGGTAGAGGTTTCTGGGAAAAACACCTACATGACGTTTTCGGAAACCTGAAAAACAGAATACATGAAACCTCGCTCCGTAAACAAGGTAACTCGTCCCGATTCCCGCTGCTTCGGGAGACACATGTGTTTTCTACAGCACTTCTTCTTTCACTACAGACTCATTGAGCTAGCTGGCTGTCGGTCGGTCGGTCGGTCGGTCGGTCGGTCGGTCGGTCGGTCGGTCGGTCGGTCGGTCGGTCGGTCGGTCGGTCGGTCGGTCGGTCGGTCGGTC